GAAGGCTGGTCTGGTGGGGGACTGGAAGGCGGTGTAGGACAAGCAGCTGGGTCGGAGGCCATAAAGCGGTGAGGGAATCGTAGGGTTATCTTGAAAGGGTTGTCATGGTGGTAATCAACGGTCCACTGTCGTGCCTGGTGGTCGATGACAGGATTGCGTAAGCATTCATTGGTGGCCCATCAGACACACGGATGGTGCACCCAGGAAGCAATGCCGTCTACTTTTAAGTGCAGTTGGTGTGGTCAAGATGACAACGAAGGGTCCCTTCCAACGTGGCTCCAAAGTGCCCACTTAATGTCTGCGGACATCCACCAGGTCCCCTGCCTCAAATGTGTGTGGGTTGGTGGGGCTCTTCCTTCATAAAGAGCACAAAGTCTTGGCCAAATGTCTTGGTGTGCTCACTGCAATGCTGCAACAGTAAGGAAAAGGTCACGATTAGTGAATCCTGACATACAATCAGTGTACCTGGAGGGAGTAACAGAAGAGACCCCAAACATGATTTCAAAGGGTGAGAGATTTAGTGTACAGGCAGTGTTGAGTGCCTGAAATAACGCATAGGAAAGGAGGGCCACCCAGTCCACGCCAGTGTCCCTGGTCAATTTAGTAAGGATCTCTTTTCAAGTTCTATTCATTCTTTCCATCTGACCTGAGCTCTGGGGGTCAGTAAGCACAGTGCAATTTCCAATTTGCCCCAGTAAGTTTGGTTATGCCCTGTTACCCGCAACACGAATGCCGGTCCATTGTCCAAGCCAATGAGAATGGGAAAACCATGCCTGGGGATGATGTCTTCAAGAAGTTTTTTTGCTACGATTTGTGCAGTTTCTCTTTTTGTTGGAAACGCCTCTGTCCAACCTGAAAAGGTGTCTACTAAAACCAACAGATACTTACATCCATATTTGCCAGGTTTTACCTCTGTGAAATCTACCTCCCAGTGTGTCCCCGGGCGAAGACCCCGGACCCTAATACCTGCTCCCCCAAGACAGTGAGGGTCATTGGTCAGTTGACAGACTTTGCACTCAGCAACTAGGTTCTTAATCCTGAGGTGCCCGCAACATGATCTCTGGCATTTTCCACGTCCCCAAATGAGTAGTTTTGTGAATTTTGGTGAGGATTTCCGGGCCTAAACTTGCCGGTAATGTGGGCTCTGCTTCCACTGTATACCACCAGTCATTGAAAAAATAAATAGGAAATACGCCACTGTAAGCGAGGTGATCCAATCAACATTTTCCAAGGAATATTCAGGCTGTTTTGGCAGCTGTGCCCCTCCCCCCCCCAGATCGGGACCGAGGGGGGTCACCTCTTTAGCAGTATGGTCAGCAAGGTTGTTGCCCAGGGCCTCTGGAGTGTTGGTTTTTTGATGTCCAGGGCAATGAACAATGGCCAATTTAGAAGGCTGCCAGGTGGCTGAAAGAAGAGCCAAGAGCTATTTTTTTTAAAAAAGATTTTATTTATTCATACAGAACTGGGGTACAGGCCAGAGGTACAGACAGGGGAGGTAGAGGAGGATTCACCAGAGACAGAGTGGGGAGCAGAACAGGCTGACTGATGAAGTACACTGCTGAGGGGAGCAGTGGACAGGTCAGCAGAGGTCTGCTGCACCATGTGGATCACCTCCGGGTGGGTATCGAACTCATGTACAAGTGGTTTTACTTTCTTAGTGCTGTGCTTTAATCTGCTGTGCCACCAGGGAGGGCCCTCCTCTTTATTTTTGATAGCTTTACCTTCTGAAGTCAGAAGTCCTCTTTCCCTAAAAATAGCTTCATGGACATGGGCAGTAGCAAATGCGTACCGGCTGTCAGCGTACAGTCAAAACACCTGCCCGCGACCAGTTGTAGGGCCTTTGTCAAGGCCACCAACTCTGCCTTTGGGCTGAGGTTCCGACTGGTAGGGCTTCTGCCCAGATGACTCCGTCAATTGACGGAGTTTACCACCGCTCCGCGTACCTTAACCCATTCTGGACGAAGCTGCTGCTCAGTATACCATCCCTCATCGGCCTCCTAAAGAGGTGGGTCCTGCAGGTCCGCACGGGTTCTATGGAGCTGCACGAGAACTTCCATGGAATTGTGGATCAGGGCATCCAGGTCAGGGGTTGGTAGCAGGGTGGCAGGATTAAGGTGGCAGGATTGAAGATGGCTCTTTCCGGGTTGAGGAGGCGGCTCTGGTAGTGGGTTAGCTAGGCACTGATGAGCCATCGGTCGGGTACTTGTTTAAGCAGCCCCTGTATAGTGTGAGGGGTAGTGACATAAGAGTCTGGCCCAGAGTAATTTTATTTGCGTCCTTTACCGTCACGGCTATGGCAACAATGACACGCAAGCAAGGAGCCATCCGGCCAAGACAGGATTTAGCTTTGTGGATAGGTATGTCACTGGCCTTTTCCATGGGCCTAGGTACTGGGGCAGCACCCCTTTTGCAAACCCATTGTGTTCATCTATGTAAAGCTGAAAGGGCTTGGTAGTATTGGGCGGCGAGGAGTGCTGCTTTTATGGCTGAAAACGAGAATTTCATCTCTGGGGTCCACTGAAAAGCTGAACCTTCCTTGGTGGCTGTATACAGGGGCTTGGCTAGCTCTGCAAAACCAGAAATCCAGAGCTGGCAAAAGCCTGCCGATCCCAAGAACTCATGGACCTGGCACTGATTTTGGGGCCTAGGGATCTGCATGTGGCTTTCTGGGCTTCTGTTAGCCATCTCCAGGAGGTCCTGAACCGGCCAGTAGTCCTTTAAATGGGGTTTCTGAATGGGCAGGAGTGGGGTATTCCAAGCATAGTGACAGGGTCGCAGGATTCCTTGATCTAAAAGTCTCTGGATGTAGGAGATAATGCCTTGCCTGACTTCTAGAGGCCTCGGATACTGGCGGACCGGGACCGGTTCGGCCTATGCCTTAAGTTCAACTATTACCGTTGGCCTATGTGCAGCCAGGCCTATCCCACCAGTCTCTGCCCATGCTGTTGGGACCAGGCTAAGCCAGAAAGTTTAAGTCAGGGGTAGTAAATGTCACAGCGAGTTGGTGGAGAAATATTCATCCAGCAATGCAACAGTCAGAACGTGCAGAGGCTGCTTCTTTGAGTCAGAGACCACTGTCCCTTTGGGGGTGAAAATGATCTGGCTTAGTTAAGAGGTCTCGACTGAGGAGGGGATAGAGGCATTCTAGGATGACCATGAACGAGTGGGTTACCTGGCCCATGCCAAGGTCCACTGTTCTTAAAGTAGTCCATGGGTATTAGTCATGACAGTTGCCCCTGAAACCCAGGAAGTTTTAGAAGAAAGCTTACTGTGGGGGTGACGCAGAATCGAATGATGTACGCTGGTATCAACTAGAAAGTCTACTGGAGACTCCTCCACCTTGAGGATTACCCTGGACTCGGAGAGGGGAGCCAAGCCCCAACCTCCCTAGTCGCTGTCTCCAGTATTTGCCAACAAGACCTGGCGCGTGGGGGAACCCAAACGGCTCGTCTGTTTAACCTTGTAAGGACAACCCCTGGCCAATGTCCAAATCTTTTGCAATACACACACTGATCTTTCAGTAGGTAGCTGCGGCTACCATCTCTGCTGGCTCCCTGAGTCAGAGATTGAAGCTGGCGTTATTTTTCTACTGGGGAGCCTGCGGTGGCAGCTAGCAAAATTCTGGCCATATCCTGATGCATCGGGCGTCATCGACCACCCGAATTTTTCTATCTTCATTCTGATGCAACTTTCTCACTGTTCAGGTGTTTCCCTGTTATTATAGGTCTGGCATGGATTTTTCACCCAGATAGTCTATTTTCTGCAAATTTTCCCGAATGTCGGGCACAGCCTCATTGATAAACTCCGTAATGACCGCTGCCCTATTTTCAGACTGTCCTGGATCCATGGGGGTATATTGTCTAAAAGCTTACATTAATTGCTCTAAGAAGGCAGCTGGGCTTTCAGTGGCTTCATGTTGCACATCCCCTACCTTGGCCAAATTAGTCGGCTTGCGAGCAGCCGCTCTGAGACCTCCCATGAGAGTCTGGCAATAGACCTGGAGGCGCTCCTTACATTCAGCCTGGCTGTAATCCCAAGTGGGGTGGTTGAGAGGAAAGATGAGATCTATGACAGCCTGGTTGGCTGTCCGATGTCCCCTAGAACTGTCGGGCTTCAGACAGGATTCTTTCCCTTTCTTCAATCGTGAAAAGGACCTGTATGAGTTGCTGACAATCATCCCATGTGGGTTGATGAGTGAAAAGAACAGTATCTAGAAGATCAATAAGGTCCTTGGGTTGTGAGAAAACCTACTGTTTTGTGCCCACCAATTAGAGATCACTGGTAGCGAAAGGCCAGTAATGCAGGGGCTGACTGCTGTCCTCATCTTCAGAACCTGCCACCCTGAGGGGTAATACAGTAGAATCAGGGTTAACAGGAGAGGGAGATCTGGCCACACGGTTCAAATGGGTGCCAGCAGCTGACCCTTGTCCCCGTAAATCCGATTGGGCTTTTCCCATCAGTGGCGAGGCTGTCACATGTGCCAGAACCGAGGAAGGTTGGTACAGAGGGGGGAAGATGTCATCCCTTCCCCCCCCAGTGCCATTCTGCAGGACAGGGGCTGTGGGTCTCTGCCCAGTCAGACATACAGAGAGGATGGGTTTAGGGGATAGTAAGAGTAAGAAGGGTCTTAGCCAGCCTGGAGGGTCTTTGATGAGGTCCTGCCAAACTAAGATGTAGGGAATTTGGTCCAGGTGTCCGTGTCGGTCAGCCTGGAAAACAACCTGTTTAACAGCACTAATGGTGGTTAAGTCAAAAGTTCCCTCCAGAGGCCATCCAACTAAAAAGGATGGCCACTCTATGGAGCACAAAGAGGTTAATTAGTCTTTTTGACATCTACACTTAACTCTACATTTAACAACCTTGAAATTTTTAGTCAAGATGACAGAGGAGTCGTCATTGTCTGTCCCATGTTGTTTCTGTTGGGCCAGCCAACACCAAAAAAAAAGAACAATAGACACTGACACAAACAGACAGAAACAAAAGACAAAAATTTTCTCTGGAGTTCCACAAAAGATGAATCTAAGGCACTATTCTGACATTTATCAATCAGTGTCGATAAAGAAATCTACTTCTGGGCAGTCCCGAACATCTTCTGTAACCCCCGGTTGGCAGCCTACCAACGCATCAGCCTACGCCTCCTGCTGACCCACTATGCAGAGAAACGGTACCATATTCAGAGAGGAACACACTTATCGAGGAACAGAAGAAGGGAAAAGAAACCCTCCAAATCGGATAATCTGGGACTTGAGGGATCCTAGATGAGCCCCCAAATGTTGTGCCCAGATATTCAGGTCCCACAAACCAGAGTATCGATGCGATGCAAAAACATGAGGGTCCTTTATTGCAAGCTTTAGCCTGGGCTCAAGACTCCTACCTTCACAGCGGTAGTGGTAGGGAGTCCCGAGCATCAGTTACACAGAGTTTTTATTGAGGGTCTGGGGAATTCTCATCCTCCAACGAGGGGAGTGGATGATATTTCTTCATGTCGATGTACAGTCCTCAGGTTGGCTGAGGGAATCACCTTATGGTGGGCTACAGCACCCAGATTGGCTGAAGGAATCACTTTATGGTGTTGGTTCTTGATTAGTCAGAGCTGGGTGGCCTGACTTGCAGGAACTGCCTCCTGAAACTTAGGCCTGGTCTGGGTCTAAAGCCTGTAATGATGGGCCTTATGTTTCTTCAGATACATTCTTACTATTGCAGGAAAATGGAAAGAGCAAGATATACATACATATATATTAAATGGAACATGTACCCACGTACCATGGACATTATGCAGTCATAAGCCATGAAAAGTGCTTGTATGTTTTCCATAAAGAAAAAAATGAGGGACAAAAATGAACACAATTAGAATGATTTTTTTTTTTGGTAAAACGAAGCCAATGCATAAAAGAAACTCATCTATATAATATGTAAGTACAATATAATCTGTAATTATCTCTTGGTAGAGAGGACACAAGAGATTTTTCTTTCAGCTTTTTATTGATTTCCAAATGCCCACTGCATGCGTTATTTGAATCAGATAAAAACACCTTGAACATTATTTGAATCAGATAAAAACACCTTGAAGTCAAGTAGTGGAATTTGGGTGATTATCCCCTGGAAATTTCAGCAACATTGCATTGTTTTATAATTTTCTAAATAATAAAAAAAAAAAGCTTTACTTCTAAATTTTTATAACCAGTATATTTTCTATGTGCCAAATTTTTTTACAGGGAGAAAAAGCTGTGGAAATGTTCACGTTATTTCATAACAAAAATATGAAGTACAAAAAATTCTATTGGTGGGAAACACATGAATGCACAACTTCATTGGGATGTCTTAATTACCAGATTTCATTTTAAAATATCACACAAGGAAGCTAACTATACATTCACTTAAACACTTGATCCAACAAAACATCTTTTGACTACCAGTCTCTCATTCTCCTATTTATTGTTCTACTTGAATTACAAGTTAATAAGAAACGTCTGCAGGTATTCTCAATTCTGAAGATTGTTACAAAAAGTAGAACTCACCTCAGGATTATTTTCAGATATCTGTCACGGATATATCCTGTTTTCTTCAGCAAAACTGTAATTAAAAAAAAAATCCACACAAAAGTTATTAAATCAAATAGGTTTAAAACAGACGTTGTATGAGATCAAATATCTATCACATGTATTTTAGTTTCTTAAAAAGCAATTTTGTGAAAAATCACTGATGAATAAAAACTTGATCTGGCTTTAGTTTAAGATGTTCTCACTGTTGAATAAATTTGAAGTGTTTTATAGACGATATTTTACACTTAGCTCAATCTTCAAGACAACGTGCCAATTACTACTACAGTCACCGCATTTCAAGTGCTGTTTCACTTAACAGAGAACAAGACTTTGCTGAAAGATGATCAAGGCTGCCCCGAACGAAAGTCCTTCGGGAGAGGTTCTTTAAACTAATTTCAGTCCTTTCAAATGTAGCATAAGCCTCGCGCAGTCCCACGCAGTCAGTTAAAGACAAAGTATCAATAGCAGCGCCAGCGCTGCCAACAGCAATTCCTCGGCACTCCGATACCCGGAGCACAGTCACGGGACAAGCACACGGAAATACTGCTCTCCACGCAGGATGTGCCCAAGAAGCTTGCCCTCCCGCCTTAATTAAGGAGGTGCCCACAGTCGGTAGCGCTAAACTAGGGAATGTGACAAGTTTCCGAAACACACTTCCAAACAGAAGAACATCTACTAGAAAAGGAGCAGAATCCAGAGCCTCTTACATCCTAGAGGCTCCCAAAGATGCCCAGCAGGAGACCTGCACTTCTCCTCCGCCCCTTCTCTCAGTCTCGGCGGGAGAGGAAGCCTCCCCCCTTTTCATCCCGCCCCTTAACTCCCCACCCCGCCGCGGGGAGAACTCACACCGCCATGGCTGCTAGGCGGCCCCTTCACTTCCGGTGTCGGTGCCGCTAGAGCTGCGCCATCCCCCAGTCAATCGGATGACCGTAACTTCCAACTGACCTTTTTGGTAGGTCCGCGATCCTTCCGACCTTCACCAGGTGCTGTCCTGGAGGGAACTGTGAATGGCTGCTGCGCCAAAGTGAATTCAGGGGACGAACAGTCGGCTCTTGCGCCACCAGAAACATAAAATGCGATAGAGCTGCGGCCACCGCTGCCTAGACAAAATGGCGCCGAGAAGCAGGCTTAGCGCAGGCGCCTTGGAAAGACCCTGCCCCGCCCCCGTGTAAGCGCTGGCCGCAGCTCCCTGTTCGGTTTCCATGGGACACTCGCCGCCAATCCTCGTGCCGAACTGCTCATCCTGACCCTTCAATTTACCAATCAGTGCTCAGTCGAGCACATCCGGAGTCGTTTCTACCAATCATTTCTCAGGACATGCTTACTCAATACCTCATTCTCCAGTAACGTTAGCCTTCGGAGACAGCCAATCATAAGTGGAAGCTGTCCTACCTGCTGTTTTTCTCACCAATCCGTGAAGTTTTAGAGCTACATCCAATGAGGACGGCAGGTAGCGAACTCCAATCCGATGCTCTTCGGCGTCATGAGCAGCCAATTGGAGTTCGTGTAGAAGCGAGTCTGCTCAACAGCTTGTTATTTGGTGGATTGTGGCAGTAAATCGGGCGAGTGGGGAACCGGGCGCAGGAACTGCCGCGGCGACCGGGAGTGGTGCTGCCCGGACGGGGGCCCACGGGGGTCAGTGGGGGCGCAGGACTCGGGAGCTGACAGCGCACACTTCACCCGCAGTTGGTAGGTGGAGGGAAGGAAAGTAGAGGATAGTGAATGGATGTAGCGGCAGTAGCAGCTGCTGCTGCTGCCCGGGGTCCCGGTGCAGTTGGAAGCCGTGGAGGTGGGAATGGGGGTGCTAGACGAGCGGCTCGGCGAGCGCAGGGGAAGGGGCAAGTCTTGGAGCAGCGGCAGCAACTGCAGGAACCGCCGCCGCAGCCGCCTCCTCGGTCGCTTCCCTAGGTTCCCCGGGAAAATGGCTGTGGTCGCGCCGCTAAGTTTGCTTCCGCGCGGCGAGGAACGGGCTGCTTTGGGGAGCCCGCCCCTAACTCCGTGGTGCGTTCTCCCCCGCGGAGTCTGTGGCAGTGCCCGAGGGGCAAGGGACTGGTACCTCTCTGGGCTGTACAAAAAGTTGAGGCGGGCGCGGGGAGGAGGCGGCGGCTGCCGCTGTGCGGCTCCCCTCCCCTCCCACACCCTGTCCGGGCCACCTCCCCTCCTCCTCTCCGCCCTACCAGCCCCCTCCCCCTCGCGGGTCTCCCCTCGCTCGCGCCTCCCGGCTGAAGGCCGCGGCCCCTGCCCCCTTGGGTGAAATCAGCTCTTCTTCCTGACATGGTGCAGAGCGGAGGAAGGAGAGCAATGGCGCCGTGACACTCCGCTGCCGCCACCGCGGGCCCGGGGCGGGCCGAGGGGGCCGAGCGGCGGAGGCGGGGTGCGGGCCGAAGTCGAGGTATCCGGGGGCCGGCTGAGCAGAGGCTTGGCGACCGCTCCTGTGGGGGACCTGGGGAGTCGCAAACGGCGCCCTGCGCGTTTCCGGAGCGATCTGTCCTGGGGCTCAGAGTTGAGCATTCCGGGTCAAAGTGGCGAACGAGGTGGGGGCGCGGTGGGCCGCTGGTGAACTCGGGCGGAGCGGGCTGCCCTTTGGCGCCCGTGGGGTTCTCGCCGCCGCCCCAGCTTCTGCGTGCTGGCTGTCCTCCGAGGGGATCTTATCCCTTCGTTAGTGAGGGTTCTGCCCCTCCCGGCTGGCGTTTGTTTACTTTCTTTGCCTGGGTCGCTCCCCTCTGTTGGCTGATTCTGTGCTTGTCTTTTCTCTCCTCATGGTTCTAACGACAGAGAAGAGAGCTCGTTGAGCTGGAACCCCACAGATCACCAGTAAAAATGAAGGTAAGTGGAGTCAACTGTGCTTTGAACCTCATGCCCTGGACACTGCTTGTCATGAGGCTGCTGCTGTGGAATGTCATTTTTTTTTTTTTTTTTTTTTGCTACTCAAAATTGATGACTGCCTAACCAGCGCTTTCTGCAAATAAGAATGTGTTGAGTGGATGAGAAATGAGTATTATATCTAAACGCAGTCAGTTTGGCTTCTTTCTAAAGCTGTTAGCACTCTGGAAACGCTGCCATAGCCTTTCCATTGTTGTCCATTGGGTTAGTATTTTTAAACACTTCCTGTGTTGGCAGTAACCTTTGCAGAAGTAAGGCTTTTGTTCTGTTTTGGTTCTTAGGGGATTTTTCGAATTTTTTTTTTCTGCCCCTGGGTCAATACGATTTTCTAATGAGAGTATGTAGATTGTTAAGGGAGAGAGGATTTTTTTCTAGAGATAAAAAGTGAAATTGTAGGGCTCAAATATCTGGAGAACTAAAAGTTACAGTTCAATTGTTATAGTATATAGTTTAAAGCGTGTTCTTAAGACAACTAATGTTGCAAACATATATAATGTTTAAAAGGAAAAGAATATAATGTATAGCATTTTGGACTGCTGTGATAATAAAGGTTTCAGGATAGATACTTATTTACCGAAAGTATCTATTTTCGATTTGCATTATTTGTAATTGCCCTCATTTTAAAAAGTACTTTGTTCCTGATTCACTTACTGTTTCACAGTATTAAACTTTCAAATATAGAATTTTCACAAATTTTCTCGTGCTTTCCTATCTTCTTCAAGTGACACACCTAATCTTTAATGTTACTTGGTAAAACTATTGAAAATAAAAGATTATTTCATACTTAAAATATATATCTCTAAGTGAATTTAACATTGTTGAATTGAGCTTGTGAAAATACACTTAACTTGAAAAATAGTAAAGTGACAGAATAAGATAACATTCATTAAAGTAAATTGAAGAATGAAATTTCTCACATCTCAGATGTATCATTCTAACCATGTATATTTTTACTGAGAGGTAAATTATTAAAGCCTACATTTTTTTTTATCAAGATTAGTTTGGTAAACTAGGTATAGCTCAAGGTCTTGAAACATCAGTTTGTATCTCTGTATTCATCAGCTGAATTTAGGTTTAGATCTTAAAAATGAAACTTTTGGCCTTTCCTAAAAGTGTTCACTTCATTTCTTATCTCTACAGCTGTCCTGTATCCAAAACATGTAGCTATTAATGAGCTAAATTAATAAATACTTATTATCAATGTTAATTTTAATAGCAATATTTTAAACAGAAAAGCAATTTTCAGGAGGTCATGAGTGAATGATATAGTTTTATGAGCTATTTAGTATGAATCTGCTTTTCTTGTTTTTCCTAAATTTTCATTTCTTAAATTGTATAATTGTTGAAGCATTTTGTATCTGGAGGAAAAAAATTACTGTATTTTCTTACTAGTACTTTCTAGTTGCAACTTAAAATATTTTATGTTTTGAGCGTGTCAGTATATAAAGAGTTGTTAATGTTTTCATTAGGAGTAATTTTCAATGTATCAATATATCATTAAGCAAACAATTTTAATCTTATTAAATACAGAATCTTTTAGTGACACTTATGGTTACTGAAAAATAGTAGTGACATTCACATATTTTGTTCTTTTCCTAGGCGGCTGATGAGCCTGCCTACCTGACAGTGGGAACTGATGTCAGTGCCAAGTACCGAGGTGCCTTCTGTGAGGCAAAAATTAAGACTGTAAAAAGGCTGGTAAAAGTAAAGGTAATTTTTTTTTTAAATGAACAGCTTTATTACTTCCAAGCTGAAGAAAGCTGGGGAGAGTGAGACTGCAAATCATCATTTTATTTATTGAATCTTTACTGATTAACCATTGCTTTGTGAAAGTAGTTATGTACATAACTATAATTGAAACACATTAAGAAATAAAAAGTGAAAATGAGAAATTATTCTAAAATGCTTTTTCAAAATACTGGCTCATTTAAAAAAATATTTTGCTTACTATATATAATTTGGATCTTACTGTTTTTAGTAACATGCTTATTTTGGCTGTAATCTGTTTTCTCCCCTTTTATAATACTTAGGTAGAGACAATTGCAGTTGATTGGAAAAAAACAACACTGGAAAATAAGTTTTCAAGACAATCTTCAAAAATGTCTTAAGAATTCTATTTTAAAGATGATTTTTCAATCAGAAAATGTTAACCATTATTCCTTCATGATATTTGGAAATACAGAAAATTACCAAATGATTAACACCTACCCATAGATTATCTCTCCAAAATACTATTGTTGATATTTTTGTGTTTACTTCTAATAAATGTCCTATATAAATGTTTTAAATCTTATATTAGAGAAACAGCTGTGCTTACTTTTAAAGTTTTAAGATTATAGAGTTAAATAATAAAGTTTATGAATGTCCTATTTGATATTGCTAAGATATTTGATGTGGCTGTTAGATTTTATGTTGTGCCTTTCATAATATTTTTATTTTTACTGGATCGTATTGTAATTGCAGTTTTGCAATTTGGTTTTCAGTAACATATCTCATCTTTTTCTACAAGAATTAAACACCATGAGCAGGGGAAATGTCTGTCTATACCCAGCACCTATAGTAATGTCTGCTACATAGTAGGCACCCAAAATATTTTGAATGAATAAATGAATTACAAATGTGATTCTCAAAGTATGGCCCAGACCAAAAGCATCAGTCTCACCTTATTTAAAATGCAATTCTTAGGCCCCCATCTCAACCTACTGAAACAAAAACTTGGGGGGTAGCACCCAGTGATTGCTTTTTAATAAGCTCTCCAAGTATTTCTAATGCTTGTTGAAATTTGAAAATCAAGGAACTAGAGACATGTAATTTGTTTGGAAAATAGATCTAGGATTAATACAAGTTCCTGTTTAAATTATAGTCTGCTGGTGAAACTTTCCTTCAAGTATTATTACTAGGATGTCAGAAACTTTTCAAGTATTATTAGGATGGCACTTGATATTTCTTTGTTTCATGTAGGTTTTTTAATTTTTTTTAAGGATTTATTTGTTTATGCATACAGAACTGGGGTATAGGCCAGAGGTGTGGGGGTAAGAGGCTTCACCAGAGACAGAATGGGGGCAGAACAGGCAGATTGACAAAGTACACTCTGAGGGGAGTAGTGGGCAAGGCAGGAGGTGTCTGTCACACCATGTGGGTCAGCTCCCTGGCCTAGTATTAAATATGCTGAAGTGGTTGCGGCTAGCTTCATTGTGCTGCGCTTTAACCTGTTGCACCTCCAGAGAGGACCCTTATATAGTTTTTTTAATGTCAGCTATGTAGAAAATGATTATGAAATGTTAGACTTATTTGAGAAAACATAATTGTTGTTGGTATTATTATGGCGCTCTCTCTCTCTATATATATATAGATACACTCACACACACACACATATTTTTAACTTAAAAATCAGTGTCATTATTTGGAGAGAGGTCTTAACATCAGATATATGTTACCTAGAATGTGAATTTTCTTACATACTTGCACAGTTACTCTATATATTTGGAAGGATTTATATGAAAAAGGTGCATTTATTTGTAATTGAATTGCATATTGTGCTTATTGTTGAAGTTAACTTAATAAAGGACCAGAAGAGTTCTGGTTTTGATATTTTACCTTGCATGTAGGTAGTAAAATTAAATACCTTTATTTTAATATACTTGGTGACAGAACCTTTTATAACTTGATAAAAAGCAATGAAAGCAGTTTAAATTTTCACTATAATCATTATAGATAATAAATCTTCTATAGTTACTCAGCAAACATTTATTAAGTGCTTGTAAATATACATTGACATTTGCTAACTGCTTGAGATATAGTGATGATGGATTAGCTAGCCTTCCAGGAGGTCACAGTAAGAGAGACAATAATTATAAATATAAGTAATAAGTATTATAACTCGGTAACTGAGTAAAACAAGACACTAAGAAATTAAAGATTAAAGACATTGTTGTTACAGTGTTACCATAAGTATATTGTTTTAAAAGTTATGTGAGAACTGTTGTCAAATGTTTTCCAGGTACTCCTGAAACAGGATAATACTACACAATTGGTGCAAGATGACCAAGTGAAAGGTCCTTTAAGAGTACGTATGTTCTACAGTTTTAAATCTAAAATAATGAATCACAAATTCATTATTGAATTTTATATTTGTAGATATACTTTAAAAAATTTAAAGCATGTTAATCAGAAAAAATGCAAGGGTGGTATATTTGGCATAAATTATGACATAATGAATATCTTTTGTTGAAGAATGTTAAACATTTTATTGAAGGGTAACTGAATATATACAACTTTTGTTTTAATTTTTAAATACCTCACTGGTTTTACATTGTTGCAATAGCTGCCTTCAGTCTAAGTTACATACATCAAAAGTTTCAGTCATCTGCTGTGCTCATTTGCCAAGTAAACTATGGTAACTTCATACTTCAATAGGTTCACTACATAATTATATTAGTTTTCTATAAATTTCTCACCATTTATATATATAATGAATCTTTAATAAGCCAGAGTATCACTCCAGTTAACCTCTGATATACAAAGGTGTGACAGCTGAAAGGTCAGCTAGCCCATCCTTCTCTTTTCAGGTGTACCTTTATCTAAAAGGTACTTAAAATATGAGTGCTGAATCTACTATATTAACTACTTTTGTGAAAGAAAATTGAAGCTATTTTTACTGTCTCAGGTGGTTTTCATTTGTTATATCCCAGTTTCTTTGATGGCAATATGCAGTAGTTAAAAAAAAATTCTCAAGTATAGATTAATGAGACTGGTTTCTTATTCTGTACTTTTTACAATTTATTTTCTCTCTTGAGCTGCAGTTTGCAAAGTGTTAAAGCAGGTAATAATGACTACGTTATGTGAAAGCAGTTCAAATTACATGATAAGTATATGAAGTGATAAAGATCTAAGCCAAAGTAAGGTGCAGTTATAAGTACTATTATTCTTACCCAGGTCATATAGGTGGTGGGAGTGATTTGGCTTGTTTACATTAGGTAATGAAATTTTGATTTGTGTTTTAGGTTGGAGCTATTGTTGAAACAAGGACATCTGATGGATCCTTTCAGGAAGCTATTATCAGCAAATTGACAGATGCTAGTTGGTATACTGTAGGTAAGTAATTAAGTAATTTAATGCAATGATTTGATTTGATGCTATAATATACCTCTATTTTGTAAATACTTTGAATCATTATTTTCACAGAGAATTAAAGTATTCTCTTCTGTGAATTTGCTTGATACAGTTGATTAACATTTTAGTGATGCCATGCTGGTAACAAAAATATGTTGTTAGAATATCTTGGTCACTTGTGGCTATTTCATTCCAGAATACATTTCTTTTACAAATTGCCTTGATATTTCTCTTCAGGGAAGTTATTATTATTTTTTTAAAGATTTATGTATTTATGTATATAGAACTGGTGCACAGGCCAGAGGTGCAGGGGCAATGAAAGAATTCACCAGAGACAGAGTGGGGAGCAGAACAGAGACTGACTCATGAAGTACATTGTTGAGAGGAGATTGGGCGGGTCAGGAGAGGTCTGCCGTGCCATGTGGGTCCTTTGAGGCAGGGGATCGAACTCATGCTAAAATGGCTTTAACTTCTTAGTGCTATGCTTTAACCTGCTCTGCCACCACAGAGGACCCGAAGTTAATTTTTTATAGAGGTGTTCTTCTTGCATATGAAATATGAGTAAAACTTGGTATTATAATCATATTTTTTTTTTACTACTTCTGTAATTACAATTAAGCTTCCACAACATCTGTCTTTATTGTACTGCTGCCAGTTTTATATAAGGATAAAATAAATGTTACAAAATTTAGACTTAAAAATTATCTGGGAGGGGGGCCCTCCCTGGTGGCGCAGCGGGTTAAAACACAGCACTGAGAATCTAAAGCCGCTTCCGCATGAGTTCGATTTCCGCCTGCCCCGGAGGAGACCACATGGCGTGGCAGACCTCTCCTGACCCGCCCGCTGCTCCCCTCAGCAGTGTACTTCGTTGATCTGCCTGTTCTGTTCCCCACTCTGTCTCTGGTGAAGCCTCTCACCGCCCCTGAGCCTCTGTCCTGTACCCCAGTTCTGTATGCACAAATAAATAAATCTTTAAAAAAAAAAAAAAATTATCTGGGAGGATTGATTTGAGCCTAGGTGATTTCACATTAATTTTTGATTTTTAATATAGTCAGTGCATTCTTAGTACTACCTTTTAGCAAACCTAAAATGCTACTAGTATGAATGTATTTTTAACAATTACATACATAAGTTTATACTGGCTTTAAAAACTACTGTAGTAAATAGTAAAAAGTGTCATAATAAAATAAATTTAAATCTGGAAGTAGTGCTTATATATTGTTTTGCTAATATATTGATGAGAACAGCAATGGTTAATGTTTCTAAGTATCATCTCACAATTTTTAAACTACACAGTTGCATGGTTAACACCTAATCCTTTGTTTTCCCTTGAACATCTATAGCCTTGCTTTGTTTTTAATTTTTATCATGTTCTAAATGGCATAGTTCTTTATCCCTACTGATCTTTGCATATGAATTTTTGTGTGTGTTTGTGTTCCACAGATGAGTGAAACCATTTGAGATCTTTCACTTTTTGACTTATTTCACTCAACATAATTATTTCAAGGCCCAGCTTGAACTCAGCAAAAAGAATATAATGGTTACCATAGGGAACAGGGGAGTAGGGATGAGGAAGTTGGGGAAGAGAGAAGAACATAGGTGAGGATGAAAAGAAAAAGAGGAAGAAAAATTATTATAGAAAGATTTGTGATGTAGTAAAATAATTAATGGGTCAGGAAAAGTATTTGAGTAAATACTGAGCCACATCTGCTCAGGGATATTAATACCATAATATCAATGAGACTGTGGTGCAAAGATGTCAAAATCTTTAATATGTAAAATTATCTTTTTCCAAAAAATAATAATTATATGAGATTATTAAGGTAAAAAGTAGAGTGAGATAGATAACTGACCAAGAAATTAGAAAAAAGGTGTTGTAATTGTAGTGTAGCTTTCTAGGTAAAACAAAGAGAAATGATTCTTAAGTTTTACTTTTGATGTACTTGACTTGTTGGTTTGGGTAAAAATTACTCATCTCCAACTGATGTTCAAAGCTATAAAGACAATGCTCTACTTAAAAATTGTCTTTGTGTCTTACTATGTGACTTCTATTAGGAGTCAGATTTTGCTGTATATATTTTACTTTTTCTAATCATTTTTATTCTTCTAGGGTTTCCTAGAAGTTGATTTGGTTTATAGTGGTGCTATTATTTAGAATTGACATTTCAGGAAGCTTAAGTTGTAACTATTAATAATTGGTAAAGATTTAAACACTAAGCTTAATGTTAACTTTAGAGATTTATTTATTTTTAAAAAACTTAAGATTGATTTATTTATGCATACGAGAACTGGGGTATAGGCCAGAGTTGAGGGGTTTGAGAGGATTCACCAGAGACAGACTAGGGAACAGAACAGGTAGGCAGATTAACCAAAATACACTGCTGTGGGGAGTAGACAGGAAAGGTCCGCTGTGCCATGTGGTTCAGTGATAGAACTCATGTTGCAGTGGCTATACAGATAGCTTCATAGTGCTGTGCTCTAAACCCTTGTGCCACCAGGGAGGCCCCAACTTTTAGAGATTTAAGGAAATATTTTTATTTACACAAAACATTGGTGAAAATTACAGGAGTTGATATATATATAGAATAATAGGAAATTATATGATGCATATTCAAATATTAAAATTGTACACTGTTTTGTATTTAATATCAAGGTTGTATTAACATTACTCTTGAAGTTTTACTGATATAATGCTCATACTTCTACAAAAGCAGTATGTGGTAGTTTTTCACATTCAGGTTTTTTTGCACCCCAGAATTCTCCTTCAGTTATGAGTAGTGATCTCTGTCTTTTATATGACTGGAATTTTAATTTCTGAAAACTAATCAGTCACTCTTCTTAATGTAGGCAAAGCAGAAATTATATCATTTTGTTCTCAAAGAGTTAGAATATCAATTGCATATAGTTTATGTGTCAAGCATTAGTCTATGCAAGAAACACTGCTTATTTAAACCACTCATTTAAAAAATGAGGATTTGTGGACCCCTACTTCTCTCTAATTTAGTAGATGTGGGGATGGAGAGAGTCTTTTCTGTAAGCACATTGGGTGAATCTAATTTTTTTTTACAAAATAAGCAAAAAAAAAAAAGCCACTCAAGTAAAGAGAAAAATTAAACACGTTTAAGATTTTTTTACTTCTGTGTAATGAGAGTGACCTAAAAAATATAAGCTATTAAGAGACACTATTCACTTAAGAATCTTCAATATAGCATTCTTTAATAAAGAATATTTAGGTACTACGTGTTAGGTATTGATTGGTACACCACATAGAAAATGATCAGAATACTATGAGCTGAAATACTGTTTTAAAAATATGACAAAATAAAGCATTAATCTCTTCACAGGTCATGAACTTTCTGTATCTCTCTATCATTGTTTGCCTACCTTTTTGGTTTCATTGCTCTTTTCTGGATTCTCTTTTCTGGATTTTCTGATTCCTAGCAAAGTGTTATATGGTAGAGTTGCAAAGTTATACAAAGTATTAGTGACTCCATTACATATTTTGATCTTTAAGAGAATCTTGAAATTATGTCAGACTATTAAAAAATGAAGCAAAAGAGACTATCTCCTCTTCTAGCTTGCCTCAAGTAGGAATCATGATCTTGGATAATCAGAAATTATCTAATGACTCAGTAATATTAACTCCATATGCATTACAGGTATTAATTTTTTCTTAGTTGAATAACCAGTTTGAAAAGAGATTATGGATCTAATATAATTTTATCTAAAAATTAATACCTAGCGCTCTAATGCTGAACAATAAATAGTTCCTATTCATGGGGATTTTGCATGTTGTATAAACGTTGGATGTTTTTCCACTTTCTATCATAGAACATTGCTTGTTAGCATAGTTTAGTCATTTGGCAGTTTTTATACCTGCTTTTACGATAAGAAATCGGTAGCATATGGAAATGTGCTGTCTACTCATCAATAGATATCAAACTTTGTGTTCAAATTCTTTTTTTTTTTAAAGGTTTATTTTATTTATGCATACAAGAGCTGGGCTATAGGCCAGAGGTGTCATGGGAGCTGGGCTATAAGCCAGAGGTGTCATAGTGAGAGGATTTACTATAGACAGAATGGGGAACAGAACAGGCTGACTGAGTGGAATACTCTGCTGAGGGGAGCAGCAGGCAAGACAGGAGAGGTCTGCAATGCCATGTGGGTCAGCTCCATGGTTAGGCATCTAACTTTTGCTGCAGCTGCTAGATATAGCTTTATAGTGTTGAGACATTAGAATTTTTATCTCCATTTGAAATTGTCATTAACCCCTAGTAAATACAACGGTCAATAAAGCATCCTAAAACTATTCTTCTGTCTTTTTGTAACATAGAAATAACACTGAATTGGAAAATGTAAAGAAAGAAATTGCCAGTAATTTTAGAAATTTATATAAAAAATATATATACATTCACTATATGAAGCCTATTTGATCATCTTTGTTAGCATGTTTTATAATACTTTTTAAGGTTAAGAATTTTGTGCCTTATACATTTTTTTATGTACCAGTTATTTAATGGATGTTCTACTTAGTGTAATAGGGGAGGTTTTAGATTAAACTGGTGAATAGACTGACTTCTGTATAATGTGATATACGCTTATGAAGCTTTTACTTTTTATTTAGTTGTAAGGTTTTTATGAGAAATATTATAAACAAAATGAACCACAAAATATTTTCAAAACCAGGTAGTTTATATTTATAGAGAATAATAGTTTATTATTTATAGAAAATCATTAAGGGAAAAGTTTTAAGCAACAAAAAATCTGTTTAGTTTAGTGGTAGACATTTAACCCATTGTTTAAATGGTCATCCATAACTTATCATCCCCATGATGTTTTGTTATTATCTTTATATATTATGTTTTTGACCTTAGCAGCTGAGGAAAATCTATAGTTATTAAAGTTTTTACTCCCTTATGTGAAATATTTTGTTAATTTTAACTGCCACACACAAATTTGACAATGACAATACTTATTCTTCCAAAATCAGAATTCCTTAATTCCTTCTTTCATTTTGTAAAGTTTCTGCTTTATACCTGTATTTATGCATTTTGATTTACCTCCTTAACTAAACTGTAGTTTATTGGTTCAGTTTCTAATTCTAAGTTCCTTTATCTATAAAAGGAAGATAGTGGTTCCTACATTGCTGAGGCTGCTGTGAGGACTAGAACATGGTAGAAACCTAATAAGTGATAGCTAATTATATCTTTGGATAAAATTTGTTTACTATTGTTACTAGCTTGCTATCATCCAGTAACTGACAGTGCTATGACAATTGGTAGGTCTTTTACCTTTTGTATTTAGTAATTAAATTATATCATTGTTGTTTTTGCATCTTTGAATTCTAATAGTTTAGAGATAGGCTTTGTGTATTTGTTGCACTAGCGTTATTTTGTCTGGTAAGACTAGGGTCACGTAAAGAGCTTAACCTTTGTCATTTTCCTAAAATTAGCTTTTAGTATTTATATGTGCTTTAGTAATAGAGATTCTACTTTTGTGGTATCTGTTCCCACACTCAATAAATAATATGCTCAAATGACCTTTTTAACAAGTATAAGGCATTTCATAGAATTACTAATTCTTACAGTCTTGTTCCTTCTTTTTGGTACCCTGACAGAGTGTAGTGTATAAATCTTGGGCTACATACATTGGTTAATTATTTCACTCTTACCAAATGATAGTCACTTTTCAGTGGCTGTAAATTTGTGTTCAAGAGATACTTTACATGAAAGATGTAGAAGAAACTTCTTGTAGATTAAATTTCTGCATGATTTTGATGATTACTTGGTCCACTATGTTGGTTTTTCTATTTGTCTTTCTGGAAATTTTTCGATGGCTTAACAAACTTGTATGTAGCAACTACATACATCCTGTATATATTTTTTACATTAAAAATATATCAACTAAAAAAAAAAAATATCAACTGTGTCTCTCTTTACTTGAAGTTGGAAGGGTTTGTATGTAAATTTATAATGTTTTTTGTACCACAATACCTTTGAAACATACCCTTTTACCCATGATAAAGTATGTTGAAATGAATTTTTCTCTTCACAATCTATTTCAAAGTGATTATTTTAAAAAACAATAAGGATTTTTAAAATTGTCGAAAATTTTTATTAGGACATTCTGGTTTGGGGTTAAAGTTATTTACTGAAAAAACAATGGAAAAGGTCCCTCCCTGGTGGCACAACAGGTTAAAGCACAGCACCATGAAGCTGTTTGCAGCCACTGCAGCACAAGTTTGCTCTCTGGCCAGGGAGGTGACCCACATGGCATGGCAGACTTCTCTTGACCTGCCTGCTGCTCACCTCAGCAGTGTGTTTCAGTACATCTGTGTGTTCTGATACCCAGTATTATCATTTTTGATATTATAGGTATTAAGGAAAATTGAAGCTTTTAAGGTTTTATTCCTTAGTATGCTTATGGACATTAGCACTGTCATGAAGAATTATTTTATTCTTTAGTATGCTTATGGACATTAGCACTGTCATGAAGAATTATTTTGTTAGGATATGATCACTTGATTTTGAATTTTGAAAGAATAGTCATTTATTAGACTTAATACCATATGAATCTTAACTTTGATACAGATGTTTAAAACACTGTGTTGATCAAATATAAATTAGTGCTGTAATTGTTGGAAGATGTTGTTTTTTACTCTGTCATTGTCTCTGCGGTGACCATTAATTTCTGCATCACTGGTAGTGTTATACACAACAGTTTTTGGGATCATTATTGTCCTTTGATATGTACTTTAAGAACTTTAAATTTTCTGTGCATTGGTTTCCTGCATAAAAGAGTATCTAAACTAGAGGTATACAGTCTCTATTAACTGACTGAAGTAGAAATTAAAGAAGTTGAATGCTCTTATATAAGTTTCTAGCATTAAAAAAAGTTCCTGATTTAAAGCAAAGTGCTAAAAAACATCTAAAAATACGTGTGTCATTCTATAGTTAACAAAGTAAGAGATTCTAAAATATAATGTAATATAGAATTTTCCTTTATTAACACTAACCTTACTCTATTAAAATGGAAAAGCATTTAGAATTATGAAAATTAGTATATCTTAAAGTAACCGTTTTGTATATATACATTCATTTATATATTATTTTTATAAGATACAGTATTAAATATTCCTCTTAAGTATATGAGGTAAGAATTATATCTTCTTATATTTTATTTCTTTATAATATTGGTATCTTCTGAGATTATTTCACTTTTTTTTTTTTTTTAAAGATCCATTTATTTGTGCATACAGAACTGGGGTACAGGCCAGAGGCTCAGGGGCGGTGAGAGGCTTCATCAGAGACAGAGTGGGGAACAGAACAGGCAGATCAACGAAGTACACTGCTGAGGGGAGCAGCGGGTGGGCCAGGAGAGGTCTGCCACACCATGTGGTCACCTCCGGGACAGGCGGGGATCGAACTCATGCGGCTTTAGATTCTCAGTGCTATGCTTTAACCCACTGCGCCACCAGGGAGGGCCAGATTATTTCACTTTTAATTAACTTTGTGTTTGTGTCAACATGTGTACCCTGAGAGATTATGCTAAGTGAAGTAAGTCAGAGAAGTCAAAGATGGTACAATTTTATGCATATATGGAATATAAAGAATAAAAACAGAAACAAGTTCTTAGATACAAAGAATACATGATGGTTACAAGGAGGGGAAGGGAAAGGAGCATGTGAATGGGTAAATGGGATCAACGGTACGGTGATGGTTGAAAACTAGACTTTTGGTGGTGGGAACAATGTGGTGTGAACACATATGTTGAATTATAATTCTATGTACCTAAAACTTACACAATGCTAAGAATTACTATTATGGCAGTAAAAATTTATTTTAAAAGGTAAACTTTATAATAGTGGGTTTTAAAAATCAGAGTCCATTTCTGAAAAATTAAGTCTATATACAATTATCAAAATAATGTAGTTAGGCCCTCCCTGGTGGTGCAGCGGGGTAAAGCACAGCACTAAGAAGCTAAAGCCATTTCAGCATGAGTTCGATCCCCGCCTGCGCCGGAGATGACCACATGGCGCTGCAGACCTCTCCTGACCCGCCCGCTGCTCCCCTCAGCAGTGTACTTCGTCAGTCGACCTGTCCTGCTCCTCACTCTGTCTCTGGTGAATCCTCTCATCCCCCTGCACCTCTAGCTTGTGCCCCAGCAACCCTCCTGTGTGCATAATTAAATAAATCTTTAAAAAAAAATAATGTAGTTAGGTAGTTGGAGTATACAATAATAAATTTAAGTCAAAATCCTTACCCCTATTTCTTTCCTTAAATAAATATTTAAATATTTATTAAAAAAAAAAAAGTATAGGACTCTCCCTGGTGGCGCAACGAGTTAAAGCACCACATTACAAAGCTCTTCACAGTTACTAAAGCACCAAAGTTACTATAGCACTAGGTTGATCCCCGGGCAGATAACTGACCCACATAATGTGGCAGACCTCTGCTAACCCACCTGCTGCTCCCCTCAGCAGTGTACTTTGTCAATCTGCCTATTCTGCTTCCCACTCTGTCTCTGGTGAATCCTCTCACCCACCACATCTCTGGCCTGCACCCAAGTTCTGTAAGCATAAATAAATAAATCTTTTTTTTTTTTTAAAGTGTAAGTAAAATCTCAAAAAGCTTCTGATGTCTTATTTTTTAGAATTTAATCCATCTTTAAGATCTGTCCTTGTTTCAACCTTTAGTTTTAAACTAACATCTTCTTCTAGCAAAAGAAAATGGTGAGTCAAGCTTTAGAATTTGGCAGCCAGTACATTTATACTGCGATATTGTGCAAAAAAGTACAAACAGTAGGATAATTTAATATTTATGCTTTGATAAGGTTGAAAATGAGTTAAGAAGTTGGTTCTATAGAGAAACTGAAAAAATGAATGGAGACTTGTCAGCTGTTGGGAACAGCCATTTAACCTGCTTGGTATGAAAAAAATGGAAAATATGTTATATACATTTTAAAAGGTTTTGAAAACTTACATAAATAATGACTCTTAGAATTATGAAGCCCTAGATAAGTATCAGTAATAGCCATTCTGTGCATTAAATTTATATTTTTAGTGTGAATAAATTTCTGTTATCTTTTGCTTCTTGTAGTGTTTGATGATGGTGATGAGAGAACATTGAGGCGCACTTCACTCTGCCTGAAAGGAGAAAGGCATTTTGCTGAGAGCGAGGTAGGATAAGAATGAATTTTGTGGGTTAAGCAACTACTAATCTATCAATTAACTACTAATATAGAGGCAAATGTGATTTAATACATGTGTTTCTCTTCTAGACACTTGATCAACTTCCATTAACAAATCCAGAGCATTTTGGAACACCAGTAATTGCAAAGAAGACAAACAGAGGAAGGAGGTCCTCTCTTCCAATGTGAGTTTCTTCATCTACAATAACATAACAACACAGATACTACAGTACTAAACAGCAGTTTTCTAGACTGAATAATTTTGCTTGGGTTACCATTCCATAACAGCTTCTATTCTTATATTAGACATTTTACACTGACATGACCTTTTTCTTAATTATATCCATCTCTATGTCCAAGAATTCTCATAACTCTTTGCAAAGAGGCTGTTTTTGTTTTACGTTTCTTTGCCAAATTCCTTAATTGATGTGATTATTTTCCTATCTAGGTGAAAGTATATCTTTTTAACCTTTTACTTTAAAAAATTCAGAAAATCTGGACCTTCCCTGGGGGTGCAACGGGTTAAGATGCAGCACTGCAAGCTAGTTACAGCCGTTTCAGTGTGAGTTTGATCCCCACCCTGGAGGTGACCCACATGGTGTGGCAGACGTCTCCTGACCCACCTGCTGCTCCCCTCAGCAGTGTACTTTGTCTATCTGCCTGTTCTGCTCCCCACTGTGTCTCTGGTGGATCCTCTCACTGCCCCTGCTCTTCTGGCTTGTACCCCAGTTCTGTATGAATAAAATAAATAAATCTTTAAAAAAGATCACAGAAAATTTAACACTGAAAGAATACTGTTATCTCACAATGGAATATTACTCAGCATTCAAAAAGATAAACATACATCTTTTGCAGCAATATGAATGGAGCTGGAAGGGATCATGCTTACTGAAACAAGCTAGAAACAAAAAGAAAAATACTGGATGGTTTCACTCATAGCAGGAGCATAAGGGATTAGGGGGAAAAGAAGAGAGAGGGACAAATAAATGTAATAGAGTAAAAATGAAAACAATGAACAACTTATAAACCAGAGACTTTTTATGGGGGTAGAAGGGAGAATGGGGTAGGAAGAAAGCATTGGAATATGGTGATGGCACACAGGTGAATTGGTGGTAGAAAGCCCATGGGGATTACAACTGAGATGAAAAAAATGCACAAAGTGAAGAAAGATGTAAAAAAAATTAAAAATATAATAAAGAGGAAATACTGTTATCTAATAACATATACCCAGTATTTCATTTACATTTTGCTAATTGTCCACAAAATTTTCTTTATAGAATTCCCTAATTCCAAAGTCTCAAATAACTAAAATCTTTTTTTTAAAAAAAATAGTTTATGGCCCTCCCTGGTGGCGCAGCGGGTTAAAGCACAGCACTGAGAATCTAAAAGCCTCCTCTGCATGAGTTCGATTCCTGCCTACCCTGGAGGTGACCACATGGTGCGGCAGACCTCTCCTGACCCGCCCGCTGCTCCCCTCAGCAGTGTACTTCGTCGATCTGCTTGTTCTGTTCCCCACTCTGTCTCTGGTGAAGCCTCTGGCCTGTACCCCAGTTCTGTATGCACAAATAAATAAATCTTTAAAAAAAATAATTATTTATTTACTTATACATACATAACTGGGGTACACAGACCAGATGTGCAGGGATGGTGAGAGGATTCACCAGAGGCAGAGTAGGAAGCACAACCAGCAGATTGAGGAAGTACACTGCTGAGGGGAGCAGTGAGAGAGACAGGAAATGTCTGCTGGGCCATGTGGATCACCACCAGGTTAGGGATCAAACTTGCACCGAAGCCCAAGGCCAGCTTCTCAGTGCAATGCTTTAACCCGTTGCACCACCAACTAACTAAGATCTAGCCTCAAGTAACTAAGATCTAGCATTATATTTATATATGTGGGTCTAAAGTCTTCATTAAGCTGGAACAATTGCTTAATCTTTTTTTAATACTTTTTCCTGACAGGGAAAAAGTATAGGAAGAGTATAGGAGAGTTATTTTATAAACTGTTCCTCAGTTTGGATTTGTCTGTGTTTTAGTTATCTAGATAGGTTACCTCTAAATAAACCCTCAAATGTGTGTTAGTGGGCTCTGTCATAACCTGTTAGAAAATTAGAGGTACATTATCTGGCATCTGACATGCACAAATAGTAGAAAGGCAGTCTTTAAAAAATGTATTTGGAATATTAAAGTATTTGATAATGATGTAATTAGGTTTTTCTGTCCCATCAGGTAGTTGGCATGAGAGTATAAGTCCATTGATATATTGAAGTGGACTCAGAGTTACCATGAATGGCTCAGGACTACTTTTGTGGGGCTGGGGAAGTATCTTATCTCTTCATTTTGAGGCTCTATTACTCTAGGATAATCCAGATTAGAAACTGAGTTGTACAAGTTATAGTCATACCACTCTGTATCAAAAATGATTTATGTGAAGATCATGATGAAATTTTTCTAATTTTAGTACTGAAGATGAAAAGGAAGAAGAGAGTAGTGAAGAGGAAGATGAAGATAAGCGACGTCTCAATGATGAATTATTAGGAAAAGTTGTAAGTGTGGTGTCTACATCTGAGAAGACTGAATGGTATCCTGCTTTGGTAAGTAAGGCTCTTTGTAGAGCTAATCACTTAAAATATTTGTTTAACATGGCTATTTTAAAAGCACTTAAAATAGTTTGAATGTATTACAAATTTAATTTGGAGTTTGTTTCAAAATTGAACACTGCTGTCCAAGTCCCACATAGTCCACTGTCTTTTTATTTTCTTTACTTAATTCTCTAAGACCAGTCATTTATTGGAATCTTTCTATTTCTTCCTTTAAAATGTCTAATGATGTCTTTTTGCTTTATTGCCTTTACCTTTTTATATCTGATACGTAATAACTATTTTCAAGTTCCCTTGATTCTTTTAATTCTCTTTTTACTAAATTCAGACTAATGTATTAGAAGTAACTCTTATGAGAGGTCATTTGAAAATACTGGTTTAATCACAGTGATTCCATTCTTAAAACAAAACAAACCTCTAACAATAAACCTTTATTAATTGTTCATGTACTCAATTCTGTGTTCTTTAGATGGATGTTTGAAGTCATAACTAGTTCTTTGTTTCCCATTTTTAGTGTAAGCTTTCTACTTCAATCAGGTTCTTTCTTTGTCCCAAATTAAGATAACTTCGCTCCTCCAAGTCATTTCCCTCCTTTAAGTCAATTAATATTTACTGAGGATCTGCAATGAGTTCAGCTTTTTTTCTAAGTTCCTTAGAAGAGAAAGAAGTATAAGGGCAAAGTACAATACTGCTTTCAAGAAGTTTACTATACACACCTAAGAGATAACCAGTAAGATTATATAGTAATTTAAAAAATCTTTCTGTGTAGACACTGGATAAGGATAGGGAGCCATGGGGACAGGAAGAGTATACTTAGGCTTTAGAAATGGCAGAGCTTCTGGGAATTAGTGGAGAAAGAATGAGAAGAAAAGATGGACCAGAGACTAATTTCATGAGAGGAATAAATAAACTTGGTAATATCTGTCTGTACTTCTCCTTTTCCTGCTCTTCTCTAAAATCTCTCGTAAGGTTCATCTCATTTCCTGTTTTTTTCTGTAGCCTCTCCATTAAGCAAGCTAAACAATCTAAACTTTTCTGAGTTTTGATATTACATGTATCTCAATGGTAATTTTGCCACAAAAAAAGTCTCAAATTATAATTCTCCAAAGAGCTGAGACCATTCCTTTAGGTTTCTGTGTGCTTGTAAATATATTACTCAATTCCTATATAACAGAGTTATACAGGCAAACCTGATCCTTTCTTTGCATTTTCATTTCTACAGGCACACAAATAAAAGGGTTGAGATTCCAAATACTCAGACCATAATTTTCCAAGTGATTTTCCCCCCATAAATTCCTTGACTTACTCAACAGATTTATCATTTTCAGATGTTATAAAAATAAAATACCAATCTTACATTAAATGATTTGAAAGTCTAATGCAGAGAACAATTCAAGTAACTATAATGTAACATAGAACTTATTCCATATTAGAATTTCTTCTCCTGAGGTATTACATTTATTTGAATTAAATCCCAAAAGCATTCATAAAACAAGTGCTTTTGAGCTGAGCCTCGAAGGGTTTGAAGTTAATAAGTAGTGCTTTTATAGAGAACTTTCTTAGAGAAGACAAATAAAAACAGAAAAGTGAGGAACTGCTCATGGAACTTTCTGTTCTGGGAATCCTTTTTGACTAAATATTGGAACAGGACATAAGATTTTGAAAAGATAATTTGAATCATGGATAGAAGCATCTTGAAAAGTCCATCTAAGGAAGTTGAAAATTGTGCATAGAATTTTGCAGAATGACATCATTTGAGTTACATATTTAGAATTATTAATGAGGTAGTGGTATGCTGGATGGGTTGTTTAAAAGACTAGAGCTGGCGGGAAGCAATTTGGAGGCCATTTGGAGTGGTTTATAGGTGAGTTAATGAAGGAGTTATACCTACTCATCCTTAAGGACCTACTTTAAGCCTTAAGGGTTAAACCTTCCTCCTAGGTGTTTTGTATTATTTTATATCCACTGGTATCACTGTATTTATCCTCCATTACATTATTTTTAATTTTTTTTGTGTTTTCCTTCCATTACTTATATAACTGTATTATTATCCTAGTAATTACTAGCATCTAACAAACATTTACTTCCTTCTGGTGTTAAGATTTATATGTCTGCCAAGAATTTTAAATTATCTGCATATATATTATTTAATGAGTCCTTTGCGGCTATTTAAAAGTAATTTTATTAAAATGAAATAAAATTAAAAATTCAATCTCTGGTTGTACTGCTCAGTCCCATGTGTTTAACTGCTTTTGTACTGGTCATGCAGATACAGAAAATTTCCACCAGTACATAAAGTTCTGTATATGGTGCTATTGATAGATAGTGGCTAGTGTTAGAGGTGGTAACAAGGAAGTAGACATTAACTTTCTATAAAGAATATATAAATATTATTTGTTAAGCATTTTTTAAAGATTTATTTAATTATGCATACAAGAACTGGGGTACAGGCCAGAGGTGTGGGGTGTGTGTGAGAGGATTCACTAGAGACAGAGTGGGGAGCAGAACAGGTAGACTGACTGAAACACACTGCTAAGGGGAGCAGTGCATGAGACAGGAGAGGTCTGCCACACTGTGCGGCTCATGGGGTATAAGAGGTACACGGAGTAAAAGGATTCACCAGATACCTAGTTGAGAGCAGAACAGGTGGATTATGTAAAAATACACTGCTAAGGGGAGAAGTAGGTGAGACAGGAGAGGTCTATTGTGCCACCTGTGGGTCAGCTCCTAGGCAGAGATTGAACTCAAGCTACCGCAATAATAACGCTGAGACTTAACCACTAGGCCACCAGGGAGACTCAGATGGATGTTATTTTAAACAATAGCCAATTTCAAAATAGACCCATATTCAAGTGTACATAAAGATATTATAAATATGCCAAATTTTCATCACAGGTTATACATTTTCATTTTTGGGGAAATAAATGAATTATTACTTAGTAAGCTAATGGTGGTCACATTGTAATTTGTATTTCATTAACTACTTTTTAATCTAAAGACTATATAAATGATCTAGAAATACAATATGCTAAATTGAAATTATAAGACAGTCTTTTGTAATGTATAAATGTTGGGATCTATTGACAGTGAAGCCATTTGTAAAATATAAGGAGTTAAAGGATCCAGAATTGTTCTTTTTTAAAATACAGTCATTACTTAAACAAGGAAAATAAGAATCAATCTATTCTTATTATATATTTCAGGTTATTTCTCCCAGCTGTAATGATGATGTCACAGTGAAAAAAGACCAATGTCTAGTTCGATCATTTGTTGATTCGAAATTGTGAGTAATGAATCACTACTTAGTAGTGTTACACTAAGTGGACAAAAAAAAAAAATGGAATCACAGTGTTAGAGTCCTCTCTATGCTAAGATTTTACTTAAGACATTTTTTTTTGCATCCAAGAACTGGGGTACAGGCCAGATGTGTGGGGCTTGAGGGGTGGTGGGAAGGATTCACCAGACAGAATGGGGAACAGACCAGGCAATCAGGTGAAATGCACAGCAAAGGGGAGCAGTGGGTGAGAAAAGTAAGGTCTCCTGAGCCATGTGGGTCACCTCCCTGGATAGGATCCAACTCCTGCCGCAATGGCTGCAGATAGCTTCAAACTGCTGTGCTTTAACACCCTTGTACCACCAGGGAGGTTCCTAAGATTTTATTTTAAAAGGTCTTATTTCATGAGTTGAGAAGCTGTTACCTAATGCATTTTAACTTTTAATAATATAGGTGGTTTTTTTTATAAATTTTACATAAAAATTTAATATTACAAAGTTTTAAATAAATTATGGTATTTTCTCCTTAATTTAAATTTGTTTCTTTTATTTTTCATAGTACTAATGAAATTTATTTTTATATTTTATATGTTCTTATTTTTTTAATATCACTTCTGGTTCTTGAGGCTGTGTTTTCAGTATGCATTATTTTCATTATGAATGTTTTGATAAATTGTGTTGTCTTTATACATTTATTCTTTAAACCATAGAATTTTGGAAAAGCATTATGCTCAACTTCTAGTTATTTGAGTATTTTTTATGTTGTTTTTAGTTTGTATTTTAATTATGTGATAGTCATAAAGCTGTTTTGCATTACTTCTGTCTTCAGAATTTATTGATTATTTTTTTGGTGGCTCATATGATCCATTTTGGTGAATACATATGTGCTTTTGTAAAAACAAAAGTATATTCTCTACTTCCAAGTGAGATATTGATTTCAGTTAGTTCAAGTTACTTGATAGTAGTTTTCAAACCACTCTATATAATTATGTTTTTTGTAATTTTCATTATTGATGAGAAGTGTTGCTGGTAACTCCAACTAAATTTGTGCCTTTGTCTACACCACACCAAGGACTTGTAGTCCTCCACTATAGTCTGTTCTGTCCCTAGCCTGTTTTCCTCTCCACCATCCTACTCCATAATGCAACCTCAGTTTTATTATAGTTATTTAAATTTATTTATTTATGATTGTAATATTATTTGGATATGTCCATCAGGTACTGCCATCATAGTGCATTAAATTAATAGCAAATTTCTAGAATAATTGCTTTGACTTTTTTGTAATTAAAAGTTAGAGTTTTAGACTCTTTGTAAATTCAACTTTGCCTTTCTTGCAAAGAAGATGGAAAATGAAAATACATATTGAGTTTTCATCCTCTGAAAAATTTAATACCATAATATATCTTCCAATGATACAAACATTTTTATGTTATCTATGAGGACAACATTGTGTTGATATAAATTTTTCCATGTGTAGGATTTGCACAGATTGAGATATACATGTGAAGCTGTCAAAGCAGTATATTGATGATGTGAATCTTTAGAATTAAGACACTAGCTCTGTATCACCTTTGCCTTTCATTAAAGATTAAGATATATATGGCCATTTTAAAACATCTATCTGGTAAAACAACTTTGATTTTGAGTTTTATATTTTTCTAAGTGATAATTTTTATTTAATAATGGTTTCCCTTCCCTGTTCTTCTCTATAATTAGTTACTCTATAGCAAGAAAGGATATCAAGGAAGTAGACATTCTCAATCTACCAGAATCGGAACTCTCTGATAAACCAGGTAATATAAGGATGAGTCAGTATTTCATGATAGGGCTTTAAATGGCAAATAGTGATTAAAACAAGATTGAATAATCTCTGGTACCATTTTAACTGTTGAGAGCCAATATTACTCTTATTTAATGGTTATTTTTTAATGTCTAAATAAAACTTATGTTTTACCATTGAGATTTATAATAGTATTTCTTAGAGTAATAATAAACATTAATATAAAATTATAACTTGTAAACTATATCTGAATTTACTCTATCATTTCAGAAATGATAGCTGATTTTAAATCCAGATATTTTGTTTCTGAATGTCACACTACCTTATGCTGCTAATTCCTTAACTGGTAAAGTATATTTTTACTTTTAGGACTACAGAAAGCAAGCATTTTCTTAAAAACTAGAGTTGTTCCTGATAATTGGAAAATGGATATAAGTGAAATTCTTGAATCATCCAGTAGTGATGAAGAAGATGGCCCGGCTGAAGAAAATGAGGAAGAGAAGGAAAAGGAGGCCAAAAAGGAAGAAGAAGAAGTGGTAAGTGAAATTTCATGTTTATATAATATTATCTTTGTGTATTTCCCTTTGCTTAAAATCCGAATGGAAATTCTGTATAGATTCCTTATCATTTGTTTTGTTTGGGAGATAGAAGTTTGTTGATGTTTAGATGAGTGGGTAAATCAGAACTAACTTTTAGCATTGAGCAGTTAAGATGATTTACTTTGCAAGTTAAATAATCAACAAGTGTAAACTTGTTTTTAGTATTTTAGTTTTTTCTAAATAACCAAGGAGGAAAGAAATCTTTAGATCTATTACATGTGTTAATTAATTTAAATCACTACCATATGTAGTAACAGGTAACTATCCTAATTAAAGGTAAGGAAAGTGAGGGTCAAAAAGGTTAGGTAACTTTCCTAAGATGGCATAGCTCAAAGGTGCAGAACAGGGATTTGAACACAGGGTGGCCTGTCATAACTTCAAAACCTTACTTCTTTCAGACATTTCATAGGATCCCAGGGGTAAAGGGGAAGAAAAAAATCCTACACATACCTAAAGAATATTTTAGTTTGAGGTTTAATAAATCATAGAATTAATTGTATTTTATAAATAAGAATGACTTTCCATACAATATTACTGTCATTTAAAATTTATATATAATTTTAAGTAATCATCCATGGAGCTTCACATAATTTTTATATGAATGTTGTTGTCTGTTTATTCAGCAATGTTTTGTGACATGGGATAAATTATTTGGTATATTGTTGGTTGTTAGTAGGTAAAAGGGCTTAAGGGCAAGACAAAGAGAATGAATGAGTTACTGAAAAAGAATACCTATTTGAGCATGAAAAATACTTGTTTGGAAAATGTGTAATGCTCATTTTTATTTACATGTATATACACGTAGGAACTTATGAAATAAATTGAGTATACTTGTATGTGATGAAGGGCATATGAGATTTCTTTCCTTTTACTTCCTCTGCAGTATTTGGTTTTTTGCACTCTGAAATCAGAATGGCGGTTCATACTTACAGGCTGCCTACAGAGTTGCCATGGTAACATGCTGTTGGGTTTAAGTGAGCATGCTCGGAAAGACAGGAAGGTTTAGCAGAGGCTTGGCAGGTTGCCAATGGAGGTTTGCCAGATGCTTTGAAATGGGCTGTCTTTCTTTTCCTTTCATATAATGTCTGATTTTTATGTGGAAGAGAATGTAAGTAGTGCTGTATAACCCTGCGGATGCTATGCCCTAAGAGGGAAAGCAAATATTTGCAAGTCAGACTGAAAAATGTTCAGACACTGTACTGATTAAGTAGAAGGGGAATCTAACCATTTTGCATTTGAAAGAAAATGCAGCATATAGGTAAGATTTTTTTTTTGTATACTTAGTAACCTTTTTGAATGCCAAAAATGGGGTTAAATAAGAATTTTAGGTATTGATGATGTGGCTGATATGGTAGGACTGTAACCAAGCTTAATTGTTTCTTGTAAAAGAGACAGTAGGATCTATTTTTAGACCATCAGTAGATGAAGGCTTTTTTCTGAAAAATAAGATAGAGTTTGGTATGAAAATGATGAGACAGTTTAGCAAAATTCAGAATTTAAAGTCTAAATATTAAATGTGATTTTTGTATTTTATCTGTATTTACTTAAAGGTTATATGTTTTCACAGTAAATAGGCCACATTTTCAGGGTGTGAACTGTTGCAGTCTAGTTTTGCTTTTTTTTCCTTTTACATTATTTAGGATCTTATATTGCCAAATATTGAAAAAATACTAGTTTCTATTTCTTGCTAATACTTTTAATTGGTGTCCCTTTCAGAATGCATTTACCTATTCCCCACCCCCCTCCAAAAAAAAAAAAAACCTGAAATTTTAAACAAAGAGGGTAAAACAGCTTTATAGTAAGGTTGAAGAAGATGATTATAAAATAGTAAATATTAAGTAGTTCTTATCACAGCTACTAATTTCATAATAATTACAATGTTTTAATTGAGCTTTGAGTAAATTTTAGTAAAAGAGTGCAAATATGATACCTATTGTTTGCAGGTAATAAGTAAAAAAATTTTAAAAGGTTAAGGACCTTGGAAGGAGAAAATCTTCAAATGTATTACTTAAATTATGTACCTGTTAAATAATGTGAGCTGAAAAAATGTATACTGAAAAATAATAGCAAAATTACAAAATTTTGGTACTGATTATATGATTATTATTTTAGATTTTTTTCAGTTAATTTGTTTCATGCTTTGCCAAGTATATTTGATATCTTTTTTTCTGTAGCCATACAAGTAGATTTTCTTGAGTGAAATTTTGATTGCTTTAGGAAAAAAAATCAGCTGCATTCTTGTTCTTGGCTTTAAGATTCAATTGCTGAATCATTCTAATCTGTCTGAATTTTAAGTTTCAAAAAATTAAATATATTGGTAGACTAAAAAGCAGTTTATTTATATAGAAAAGGGGAATATATAGTTATGGCATAAAATTAATTAAAATCTGTAAGTCAGGGCCTACCTGGCTTAGTCATTATAGGCCGTTACTACATAAGTGAGGTTAAGCTGTAGTATTACATTACAGATCATATTCTTTCCCCTGTGTAATAATAATACTCTGCATTTCATGAAGACTTAGTGTTGTTTTACAATGATCAAAAAGATTTTTATAGAATTCTATAAACCTCCATAACAACACTGTAGCCTGTCATTTTGTGTTTGTAATATAGCAAGCAAACTGTATGCTGCAGAATCATACAAGTGTTAGATACTTCTGCAGTATTAATGGGCAGTAGACATTGTTTTTATATTTGGTGCTTTGACTGTCTTAATACAGACTTCAAAAGGAGATCTGGGTGCATGACTTTACCAAGGAGCAGCATCTTTTTTTACTTACTGTTATTTTTAATTGCTAAGCATTGTTGAATTTAGGATTCAGCTACAAGAAACATAATTTTGCACTGTTACTGGGTACAGAAAGAGTAAGTTTGACAGGAAATAGGTTTTGTCTATACTGGTGACTTTAAATTTTAACGCATTGGTAATTATATTTTTAAAAAGCCCTTAAAGATTATTTTTGTATTACTTAAATGTCTTTTAAGAAAATTTTACTTAAGAAAAGATACTACAGTATTTCCTTTTGAGTTTTGAAATTGATTGAAAAGTCCATGTAAACATAAGTAATGGTGTCAGTTATTCACTTATTTCTGACATGGTCACTTTGGATGAATGTAGGAGACAACTGTTAGAAAATAAAATACCAGGGAAATTTGCAGTCCTTTTTTTTCCTTTTTATTTGCTGCATGTAAGCTAATATGTTAGATCCTTTCAGTGTTCTACTAATTCATATTTACTTACAAATATTAGAAATTAGTGAACTATAAAAATACTCTTACTCATTTTTTATTGAGGAAACACATTGGTTTACTATACTATATGTTCTTTTTTAGTTTAGTAGTATTGCACACCCATTTCTCCAATCTTCATATTTTCTAAGATCAATGTATCATTTAATGCCTAAGACTATATTCCACTGTTGTGAAAAAAAAATCAGTGTTAATTATTCATAGAAATATGAATATATATTTTTGAAACTTAAGTTGTTATCTCTGTGTGCTTATGCCTTCTGTACATCAAATATAAACATATTTGTTAGTGATCTTTAAAAATCACTTTGGGCATAACCTAAGTAAATGCTTGCTAAAACTCAAAAAAAAAACCATGCTAAATTGATACAGATTAAAGAAACCCTTAAATATAATTCTAGTATTTTAGGTGTACCTAGTAGCTCCAACTCCCAATCATGTTTCTAAACAAGCCCTATAATGATACTCTTCAATGAGTAATTGAGATTTTTAGCTTGCATTCACATATAATTTATTTAGTAAAGTCTTAAATTTTAGTCTATTCAGTTAACAAAAATGTCCCAATGTATTTAAGGAAACTTTAATGTATAGTGTTAGAATAAGATTCTAACCAAATTAAGATCACCTAATGAGATTAGTGAGGATTGTACATTTTCATATATTTATGAAAAACTTCTCATAATTAAAATATTTTATAGTTATGGTAGTATAAGTGGATTGAGTAATTTTTCAAATACGATTTGATAACATCTATGCCAACTGTATGGTTAAAGTGGAATGCCTATGCCTTTTCAAATTACTAGTTTCAGTTTACCAATGTAATAATTTATTTTAGGCAGGTTAGTGTTAAACTGATTTTCCAAATTATAATCAGTATCTTACCACATCATGACATCTTAATTGATCCCTGAAATTTTTCTATTTAAGTATACAGAGTAGGGAAGAATGGTAACTTAGCTGTGGGTGAAAGTACAAAACACATTATAGTGAATTAAGTGTAAATGGGAAATCAGGAAACAAATTGGTATATGTAAGTTGAATATCATCTGTAATCTAACTTATATGATTACCTAGCATTGCTGGGCCTGTTATGATATTAATAAATTCCAAGTTCCTATAATCAAATTATATCCTCCATTAAACCAACACTGTACCACTCCAGACACAGAAAGAAGAAAGGATCTTCAGAAACCCCTCCTACCATAAGGTACACTGATAATAATGTTGTCTTCTGTAAGAGGACTCCCTCAGTTTATGCAGTGGAACTTATTCCGTATTTCCTATCACATTTTCCTCCAGCATCTTTAATCTATTCCTTTCTGTTGTATCCCTCTCATCCTCTTTCAAAAGCATATTTACATCTCTGCCACCTTTCCAGAGACCTGTGTAGATTCCTCCTACCAACCTCTAACAACCTTTTTTGGATATCGCCCTCTTTCCTCACCCTTAAAGATGAGGATATCCAATTTACATGCACTGGTTTGTTTCCTGACCTACCATTTATACTTAATTCACTGTATTGTGTTTTGTACTTCCACCCACAGCTAAGACAACTTTACTGAGGTTACCAGTGACCTCCAGTTAACTGTGCTATGTCCAACAAATGTTTGTCTTGATCTGATTTGAATACTTAGTAGTATCCAACATCTTAGACATACCTACTTTTTTTTTTTAAAGATTTATATACT